AGCACGCTATGGGTGGGACATTGCAGGTTTAGATGTGGTTGCAGCGTTTTTGAACGCGCAGCTGGGGGACGTGCATGAGAAACCACAACCAAGAGAAGACCCAACAAGAGACAGAGGCCGCATTGTGTTGATGCAACCACCGCGGGTTCTGGAAAGACTAGGTCTGATCGAAGTTGGAGAGCTTTGGCTAGTGGAACGTGCCCTCTATGGACTGAGAGAGTCGCCTCGCCTGTGGAGTGATCACAGGGATGGAACCCTACATGGCATGGAAATACAACAAGGAGGCAGGACGTTGAAGTTGCTGCCGAGTTTTGCAGAAGAAAACCTTTGGCTGATCAAGGATACCAGCCTTAGAGATGAAGGTGGAGTGCAAGGATTGGTTTTGATTTACGTGGACGACATGTTGGTCATGTCGAACCCGGAGATCACCAACATGGTGGTGGAAAAGATACAGAAGACATGGGAAGTGACCAAACCTCAATGGGTCACTGAAACAGAGCCAGTTCGGTTCTGCGGGATCGAGATCTACAAGAACAACGAAGGGGATTACTTTGCGGGACAGCAGTCCTTTGTGAAAGAAGTGCTGAAGCGCCACAACTGCAAGGAGTTTGCGGCATCCCCTTTGAAAGACAACTTCGAGCCGGAGGAGGAGCTAGATAGGACAAGAGAGGAGATCCAACTGGCCCAAAAACTGGCCGGAGAACTGCTGTGGTTGGCCGGAAAGACCCGACCCGACCTAGCTTACACTACCAGCCGTATCTGTTCAAATGCAACCAGGTCTCCAAAATGGTGTGCAGGAGCAGCTGCACACACCATGAAGTACCTCAACAGAACCTGGGGTATGGGACTGTACTTCAGGAAGAAGGGAGGGAATGTCCTGGAAGTGGCAACAGATGCCAGTTTTGCACCAGGTGGTGGTTTGTCGCATGGCTCAGTGGTAGCAAGCATGGGAGGTACGCCAGTGATGTGGAGGTCCTCAAAACAGCCTTTCCCCTGTTTGTCTACCGCAGAGACTGAGCTGGTGGAAGCCATCGAGGGAGTCATAGTTGGAGACTCTTTAGCATGCATAGTGGAGGAGTTGGAAGGAAGAGTGGATAAGCAGCTGGTATGTGACAACATGGCAGCCGTGGCTTTGTCCACCACGCGGACAGGAGCTTGGCGCACACGGCATTTGAAAGTACGTGCGACACACCTCAAATGGAGGGTGGAAGCTGGAGACTGGAAGATGCACCATCGACGGGGCACAGAGCTCGTCGCAGACATGGGTACAAAGCTTCTTGGTGCCAACAAAACGAAGGATCTGTCAAAGAAGATGAATTTGGAATGGCTACCAGATGTAGTAGCCTTCTCAAAAGCGAAGGAAGAAAGGATTGAGAAAGAGGAAGAGAAATTGGCAGAGGAACAGGAAAGAGAACCAGCTGTGACGGTATCCAAGAAGGTCTTTGCAGGAGATATGGAAAAGGTGGTAAAGATCGCCACCCTCATGGCGGTACTTCAGAAGGTAGAAAGAGTATATGCCATGGACAAGAGTGAGACGGAAGAAGGATCAGAAGTTTTGGCGGCATTTGGCTTGTTGATGATGATCCTTGGAGTGGTTTTGTACAAGTTGGTAGAAAGAATGTGGAAGATCTTTCATGAGAAGAGAGATCACGAGGAATGCCAAGCTCGCGCCCTTACGCGCGACTCTCGCGCCCTTATGCGCGACTCTCGCGGCCTTATGCGCGACTCTCGCGGCCTTACGCGCGACTTTCGCGGCTTCATGCGCGATCGAGAACGTCACCAACTTCATGTACGCGAAGAAGAAGAAGAGATAAGTTGTGAAGAAGGAGAACAGACCACCGTGAAAGTGGCGACTCTGAGGATGAGAAAAGCTGAAAATAAAGGTTCCAATGAAAAAAGACAGGAAGGAGGAAGCTCCGCTACCAGAAGCGACAGTCACACAACCGAGAAAGGCACGGAGGAACGACATGACAAAAAGGGAGCACAGACAGTGCCTCCTATGCCCGCTCAAGGACGGAGCTGTGGGAACCCTGGAGGAGAGGGAGCCCAGTCTGCTCGTCCTGGACGACGCTGTGGGAACCCTGGAGGAGAGGGAGCCCAGTCTGCGGGTCCGAGCGGAGCAGTGCCCACTCCTGGATGGCGCTGTGGGAACCCTGGAGGAGAGGGAGCCCAGTCTGCGGGTCCGAGTGGTGCAAAGCCTAACCAAGGAGAGGGAGCTCAGTCTGCGCGTCCAGATAGTGCAGAGAAGCCGAACCTGGTGGGGCCAATCATCACACCAAATGGGAGGAGATTCCATAGAAGCAGTGGATGCCCGACGTTGGCACAGTCTTGGAAAGGAAGAAAGCCGCTTTGTGGTGAATGTGGCGACACCTACTTGGTGGCTGACGTGATGATGATGGATAAGAACCAGTTAGTCCATACGAAGAAGAAGTGCCCTAAGGTTGTGGGAGAGCTGATCGGATATGATGCATGCCAAAGGTGTGCTTAGCGGCTTGGGCCTAGAGAGCTCAAAATTTTCCAGAAAGCAGGATTGCATGAACATGTCAATCCTGGGAGGAGTGCATGGATGTCAGACACTCCAATTTGAAACGTGAAACAGCATGTTCAGTTGTGTAGGTTTCAGTCTTGCTGAGAAAGTCAGAGAAGATTAGCACAGCCACCTGCACAGGATGACACGCCAAATCGAGACGGCATAGCCGCTTTGTGGTTCAAAACAAGTTGCCAGGGCTGACCTGCGTGCAAATATAGATCATTGTTATCTAACCATCTATAATAGATATTAATGATATAATATATATATATATATAATAGTATATATATATAGATATATCCTATAGGATCCATGTATGGTATATATGCTAACATTGGGGGTATATTGATGGTAAATGTTACCATATATAGCATACATGGATCCTATGGGTATAGATAATCTAAATATGTGATGGGAGAAATGGCCAATGATCGGTTCCCAAATTTACCATTTTTATAGGTATAAACCATCAACATATGGCTATGGGTGGTGATTGTTGACAATTTACTGGGTGGTATAAACCATCAAATCTAACAATAATCCACATTGGTGAGGAGAAGAACAATAACCATGATAATATCAATGGGTGGTATAAACATGTATAAACCAAGATATGTTGGTGGCTTGTGATTGCTGACATTAGTGACTGGAAAATCGAAAATCCTCCACCTTCCTAGGGGACGTCCCATTGCCATGGTTGTTTTTGGAAGGGTACCCTCTAATAAACATACAAAAAGCTATTGAAAATGGCCATTTATAGTGGATTTACCCATTAACAATGGTGATTTTCCATAGTTTTCTGTATGTTTACCAGAGGGTATATCGGATTCAAACTTGGGTGAAATAACTGCATCTCTATGCAGTTATAATATGGATTAATATGGCGTACATGGAGGCAAAATTCTGATCAATGTCGCCCGGTCAAAAAAAAACGTAGTCATGGAAGTCACACAAATTCCAAATCTGAAGCGCAACAAGAATCTGGTTGGTGGTTTCAACCCCTCTGAAAATGGCAATTTATAGTTGATTTACCCATCAAAAATGGTGATTGTCCACAGTTTTTCTGGTTGATGGTTTTAACCATCTTGACAATTATTAGTCAATGGGAAGGATTATCCCATATATCATGGAAAATAACAAATCTTCCAAACCACCAACCACAGAATGGTCTATATATTACAAATCGATTTTATTTCAACTGCTCACCCGGGTCATGCTGGGTCCATGTTCATTCCCAAAGCAAAGATGTCGATCTTTAGTTCCATGTAGTTGCAAGGTGGTGGTTCCCTATGCTTGTTGGTAAACCATAGCAACTGTAGATATACCCTCTGGTAAACTAACATAACTATGGAAAATCACCATTTTTAATGGGGAAACTCACTATAAATGGTGATTTTCCATGGCTATGTTAAATAACCAGAGGGTATCTACCATAAACCCAACGTTGTTCTTGGAGTTACAAACCACCAACATAGCTAAACAACTCCTATCCAGTCGGATCCGGACCCCTGTATTCAGTCGGACCTAAGGGGACTCGAACTTCCCAGATTTTGCATCCGGATAGAATCAAATCGCACCACGGCTTTTGGATAATCAAGGCGGATGTGGACACGGTCGAATCGCTGCAGGAATTTGACTCTGTCCGACGGCGCTTCGACGACTCGGAGGAGCTTGCGTTCGAAGTCTGCAGCACAGGTTTGCTTGAGTTGGATTGACGTTTGCCTCCACCCACAGTTGGTTTGCCTCCTAAGGGGTGCATCCCAGGTAGGTCAATAAGCCACCCTCTGATAATTTGTTACAGTTTGCTGAAGCCATGGCCCATAGAAATAGTTGATTTACCGTTCTTAAAGATTGTGATATTCCATGGTTTTTTGTATGTTTACCAGAGGGTAAACATGTATAAAACCCATATGCAACTAGAACATACAACTGGGATATGACACCCCCTTTCTGAGTGGGATACACCCCCGCCCCAAAGGCAAATACGTCGGTGGGGCGTGACTCGGCGTAGCTGTTTGACAAGTCTCTAATAGCATGGCAAAAACCGACTCTGATAAACCTAGAGCCCTCTGCAAGTGCCAGATATATCATATATGTATGGGCAAAAGATCCTCCTCGAGCCATTTATTCACAGGGATATACATATATAATATGTATGTATGCATAGATCCATTTATTCACAGGGATGTATATACTATACACACTATAATTTAAGACGTATCCAACCTGTCAAATCCAGGAATGCTGGGGATTTCAAACCAATTTGGATACAGATTCCCGACAGATCGACAGCAACTGACAGACAACAAACGTGCAAACTAATGAGGGATATCACCAACAGACGTTGGAAATACTTCGAACCTGTTTCTAAGTGGGGTGGACGTTCGAATTTTATACATATTTTTCGCCTGTAGAACTACCATTTCTGGACTCTATCCCTGAATATCTTTGAACTATGTTCCTGACGTTATTAAATGCCCAGCACCTCGGGAAAAGAATTCAAGAATCAAGTCATATCAAGTCTAATTCCAAAAAGGCAAAGGCTCAGTCATTAGATATTCACTGAAACCAGAAAACTAATGGTGAATCGAATGTTTACCAGTAGTACCGCACAAGGCGGTGGCACAAGTTTCAAAATAGGAAACCTATAAGAGAGGTTGGTTGTTGCAAGTCACGGATGACAGAGCGAAGCCACTGATGGACCGACAGGTTGTTGAGATCTCCTCTCTTTCTTTCTCTTTCTCTGACTATCTACCTACCTACCTATCTATCTATGTATCTATCTATATACCTATCTATCTACCTATCTATCTATCTACCTACCTACCTATCTACCTACCCAGCTAGCTACAAAGCAAGCTAGCTAGCTACCTACCTACCTATCTACCTATCTACCTATCTACCTATCTACCTATCTACCTATCTACCTATCTACCTATCTACCTGTCTACCTATCTACCTATCTATCTACCTATCTACCTATCTACCTACCTACCTACCTACCTATCTATCTATTCATCTATCTATTCATCTATCTATCTATCTATCTAGCTAGCTAGCTATCTATCTATCTATCTATCTATCTATTTATCTATCTATCTATCTCTATCTATCTCTCTCTATCTATCTACCTAGCTATCTATCTATCTATCTATCTGTCTATCGATCTATCTATCTATCTATCTATCTATCTGTCTATCGATCTATCTATCTATCTAGCTTTCTGATCTAATAGTCTACCAATCTACTAATCTAATCTAATCGAATCTAATCTAATCAATCAATCAATCTAATCGAATCGAATCTAATCTATCTATCTAACTATCTAACTATGTATCTACCTATCTACCTATCCACTAACTATCATAAACCTCGGCATGACTTGGGTTGTAGACGATTCTCTGCGCTTGATAAGGCTATGTTTGTTGAGGCTTGTTGAGGTATTTATAGGTATTGTTCCGTGGCCGCAGTTATGTTGGCCCATATTTTTTTTACAAACTTGTGCCCCCACAGTGAAATGTTTGTTGGTTTATAAACCATAGTAACTAGTTAGATATATCTACTGTACCACAAACCAACTTAGCTTATCTAAACTTTTAATGAACTAGTTAAATATATATATATATATCAATTATATATCCACCATCATGGCTATTGATTTATTCATTAACAATCTTAGATACCCTGCAAAAAGATAAATTCTTTGCTAGTGAACGAGGATATTCCCATACCAAAAGACTAGTTAGGATTGGTTTCTACCCATCTAAGATTGACCTAGTATAATAGTTATGTATATTATTTTATATATATATATATATGGAATATCCAGTTTGCTAGAATATCCAGTTTGCTAGTGAAAAAAATGATATCCAGATATATATATATATATATATATGAGAATTACCGGAGGGTATTTCTCAACCAACTGACTTAACCATCGCGCATCCACAACCATCCCCACTTCACGTCGAGTGTCAGCACTCCGCCTCCGGCCATCGCGAGCGTCGTGGCCGCGCTCGGGTCTTCGGCCGCCCTGGGTCGACCCGACCGGTGTCATCAGCTCCATGGCCGGGAATTTTCCGGTAAATTGGTTTTGAAATAGGACAAGGATCTATATCAATACCTATTATTGGATTGTAATATTGAAATATCTATAGATATATCTATATCTATACTGGTTGGTGGTATACCTACCCAATCTTGAAAAATATGAGTTCGTCAATGGGAAGGATTATGCCATATACTATGGAAAGTAAAGAATGTTCCAAACCACCAACCAGTATATATATGTATATACTATATTATTGATTGTAATGGGGTCATCTGATATCAGCCATAAAAATTAAATGATACTCATATATAGTGACTAATTAGATGATGGATAGAAATCTACAATGTGGGGCCCGCGTTTACGAAATCGCTAAGTTGGGGTGTTTATAACTCCAATTTCACTAGGGTTTTTGATATGCAAATAACGAACTAGAATTCATGGGCTTTAAAAACCAACAAACATGTCTGTGGGGGCCCCATATATATATACTATAATATATAAATATCTTATAGGGAAACATCTGGCCATGTTTGATTACCGGGAAGTAGATTGGGGATGGGTTAAATATAGAGGAAAAATATACACTGTCGACATGTTTGCTTGGGGATTGACATGAGTGGGCCAAAAATACAATTTGGTGATGTTTGATGGCCGATTGAATATGTGTGTATTGTTTTGGTGAAACATGTTTCAAACTATGTAGAATGTACAGCAAGGCTTGAGGAATCCGTAACATTTGGAAGACGGCCTCTTTTCTCCTGTGTATGTAAGTAGAACATGTTTGGGATGCTGGGTTTATTGCATGTTTGAACATTAGAACCATGGATAAATGGCATGCTCTGAAGTTTCCCAGTCTTTGCCACAATTTTGGCTGGTTCTTTTCTGCAACAGAAACTGACATCGCGCTGCAACATAGTTTGCAGGCTCAGAAAGATCTACCTTAAAAATCACCAATGCAAGTCAAGTCCCTGACGACATTTTCGATTTCCCGACAATTTCATCAAAAATATCAAGTCGAGTCCTGTGGTGCAAACCATAGATGCACAAACATTAAATCTAACGTGGGTAAACTATCATAAACAATCCCCAATTTCACCATAAACAGGTGGTATAAACCATTCCCAGTCATGGGTGGTTTGTGATTGTTTTTCCCACATTCTTGCTTTTGTATGTTCACCATACCAGTACTATATCCGGGAGAAATTCATCCACCACCACGCCCTTGCTTCGACCCGCCTCGTATTTCTGCCGCACATAGCGTTCCTGTTCGAAGACTTGTCCGACCCATCAAATCCAGGGTGCGAGTGCCATGGTGTTACCACGACCCAAAATCATACCATGCAGTGACGTTTGGTTCTTGAATGGTATCTGGTTGGTGGTTTCAACCCCATCTGAGAAGTATTAGTCCGTTGGGATGATTATTCTCAATTTATGAAAAAAATCCAAACCACCAACCAGGGTATTGTTTTGGCTATACCAAAATTGGTCTAAAATAAGTGGCATCTAGAAAGTTTTGTGGCTGGAAGATGGGATTACCAAGTTTTGGACATGCCCATTGCGAAATAAATTGATAACTTCAAAATCTGCACATGGTCGTGAACAAAATCCAGATCCGCAAAATTCCGCAAACATCACTGGAACACATCGTGGGATGCAATCTATATAACGAAAAAAACAATATACATAGTTTTTTTTTGGTTGGGTCCGCGCACAATTTTTGGGGGCCCCTGGAGCGTGCAGGCGAACTCAACCAAAAATCACCATACAGTTTAGACACTCGCTGAGTGAGTATAACAACATTGTAACTGTTTGAATCGCTATGAGCCCAACCTTGCAAAATATCAACATGGTTGGTGAAAATCCCCAATGTGAAATTGTGCAGTCAAACACACGTCCAGGATGGATCGCACATGGTGGGCATAAGTTCGTATGTGAGTTTCAACCCTTCCTCACGGGAGATGTTTGTGCTGGAAACCAAGGAGTCCCCATGCGTTTGCTTATGTCAAAAACCATGAGCAAGGCCTTTCCCCCAAAAAAACAAACATTGCGCATACACTAAAAGACGCAACCTATGAAATCATTGTCCAGTTTATGGCGGTAAACCGATGTAAAAGACAGAACCGCATCAGGGCCACCCAAGTACTGGGGATCAAATCTTGGAGCACGCAGGGCCGCACCATGCCACACCTCATCCTCGATCGCGTTGCGGGACACCACTTCCACCAACATTGCTTCGCTGGCATCAGGCGCCTGCAGCGAATCAATCCCATTCGACTTTCTCTGGCATCTTGTTTTACCCAAGGAATTGTAACATGTAGCGCGAATCTGCTGATAACAAAAAAAACCGTACTCAATAGTTACAACAACTATGAAATCATAACCACAGGGGCTTGCAGGTATTGTTACAGTTATTTTGTTGGCGATCACCGGAATGTTTGCATCGGAGGCGGCGTCTCCCCAAAAGACATCGGGACTGCACCTGGCCGAAGCTTTCCGGTATTTGCCAATGATTTTACACTGACGATTATGGGGATGATATGCATATTATAAGTTTGGAATTTAGAAGATAGCTACAACCAACTTCTTGTACAAGCGAAGCCAAGGACGTCCCAACCGGTAGCTCCAGATACCCGACGTTCAGTTCCCGACTGCCTTGAAGCCGTCAAGTTCTTTAGCAAGACGCTGAGCGTCCTGTGGCGATCACTGGGGTTTGCCAAGGCTCACCGTGCGGCTTTGAACTCTGCTCATGAGCTTGGACGGCGTGGTGATTCTGATTGCCGCATGTGCTTTGCTAGAGTTTGGCGAGGGTTTCCGGCCAAGCGCTATATTGCCTTGAAAAGAACCTCAGTACCACAGCATCGGAGACCGCTGCCGCTGCATTTTGTTGGCAACCTATGTCAGCCTATGTCAGCCTATGTCTTCCGAAAAGGCGTCCGTGCACAGTGGGCTTCAATTACTTGTGTAGCCAAGCCTCTTAGCCAAGCTAACATGTGAATCAAACATAGCTAGCATACTCCGGAAAGGTTTCAAATCACAATTAAGGTAGTTGCTAACTGCCATGTATTACAGTGGTACCAGCGTGGTGCGATTCCAACAACTAATCGCTTATTTGTTCCCTTCTGGGTAGTGTTCATTGCTTGCCCCAAACTTTGAGGGATTGAGATCCCGAAAAAAAATAATGCCCACCGGTATTTTAACATAGCTTTGATAGATCATGTATACCTGGTACCTATCGTATGTTTTTGTGATGTCTCGTAGCAAACTGTGAATTGATCAGAGGTTTAATTTGCTGGGGCCTAGGTCAGGTTGTCAAGGTCGTCAAGGTCTACTACAGTTATATACCCCATGAACCCAATAGAACCAAACAGTTAACCAAGTTACCTGCGTCAACTTAGCTATCAGCTATGGGGGTGATGCAATGCAGTTACCCTCTGGTGAGCCGAAACCTGACAATGGAAGATATCCTTTTCGGACGATCTACCTATGGAGCTGGTTGTGTTTGTACCATAGTGTAAACCATCATAGATATGGACATTCAGGGATTTTCTCAGGACACTACAAATGGTGGTTTCTCGATATCTGTTGCAAGTTAATTTACTGGATGGCGCGTAAACATTATGTATCATTGTGTATATATACAATTATATATATATCATTATATGCATACAATCATATATCACCACATATTAAAATTATACTGTATATATATATATTATATACTGGCATATATACATAATTAAACAAACATGTTTTACCACTTGTCAAATCAAACATGATCGATTGTGTTCAATAACTTTGGGTGACTTTCCCCGTGAGTGGCTGGGTATTCACTCGAAACCGCTTTTTTTAGGCGCTCAACGTGAGCAAAGAGACCATACAAATGATCATGTTTTATGAGTAACAAGATGATTGCAAGCGGCCGACATAGGCTTGTCCAGTGTAAACGTGCGTCATGACAACTGGAGTTATCCAAGTGCGGAGGACATCTAGCGGTTCCACGACGTTTCACGAAGTTTCACGTGTCATTTTCATCACAACTTACCATCCCAACTACCATCTAGTTATTTATTAAAGCCATGGAAAATCACCATTTTTAATAGGTAAACCATCTATTTCTATGGGCCATGGCTTCCATGGCTATGTTAGTCATCACCAGAGGGTAACATAGACTCTGAACATCAGCCATTCCGAGGTCAAGTCGTCTTCCAACCCCCAAGTATCGGTAGAAAAAACCATCCCACGATTCGCGAGGACATGGAAATGTGGCAGCAGTATATTTGGGATACCATGGCAAAGATTGGGATAACAATCCCATATGACAGATTTTCCGATATTTTCCAATGGATACAATCCATCAATCCCATCCTAACATCAATTGACTCATATTGAATGGCTCCAATATGCTCCAATTTATGAACCCAAGGCTTCCTTTCAGGGGATGTTAAATCTTAGGGGGACGAGATTATCCATCCATCCATCCATCCATCCATCCATCCATTTGTCCACCCTTGCTTCGATTTTTTCTGGTGAGAACATGAGCAAAAAGACTGGCAATTATACTGTAGCATTCCTGACATGCGATGCAGTATACACTGTATACACTAAACATATTATATCTTAACATCGTTGCGGATAAAGCAACGAAGAGTTGGGTACCCACCTGTTGACCCGTTGTCACCTGATCAACCAGATCAACCAGATCCCATCCTTTTTTTTGCACTGCCAATGCAAAGATCTGATAGATGATTTACCACGGTTTCTTCAGGATGTTCACAACTACCCTCTGGTAAACATACAAAAAACTATGGAAAATCACCATTTTCAATGGGTCAATCCACTATTTCTATGGCCATTTTCAATAGCTATGTAACAGTCATTACCAGAGGGATCCAGAGGGTATATCATGTCTATGGGTCTGTATGAAAATGTGGTATACCTGTATACCCCATTTTCATGGCCATAAAAAATGGGACATATGACGAAAAAAACAAAAAATGGATTTGGGATTTGGGATACCCCATGTGACAAACCAAAAAACCATTAAGGTTAACCTATGATTGATGGATTAAAAAAAAAAACAACAGTTTAACCATGTTCAACAGTTTTATAAAGACCCCTAATGTTTTAAATTGTTTGTTTTCACACCCCCAACGGTTTAAACCGTTTTCACCATGCGGCAAATCTTGTCTGAAACCTCCTCCATTTCATGGTGACTTAATGGTGATTCAATAGTGATTTTCTATGGTTTTCTATGGGATTAATAGGATTTAATGGTGATACTTATGGGATTTAACCAACACATATCGGGATATAATGGTGAAAACATGATAGAATGGGGATCCAATGGATTTTTGTTCGATCATTGTTGGAGGATGGAATATAAAGGATTATAATGGTTTGTAAAGCTTGAAAACAAAACAAAAACATCCAACTACTGTAATTGGTGGATCTTCCAGCCACATTTCAGGGATCCGGAGGGTTAACCCATGTGAAATCCCGCAAGAGCCAGATATCTCCAAGAAATTTGGTCGTTTTTCATCCCCCGCAATCACCAACCACCATTGAAAAGTATCACCTACATATCCCAGTTTTGGATGTTTTTTGAGTTTTTGGAACCACCTAGAAAACACCGTTTGCTGGTGAACTATTTTCATGATACAGTAACCAATCAACCTTCATTTCTCAAGAATATCCTTGTATCTTTGATAGTTTAACCCCCCCCAAAAAAGGATGGTTCATTCACTGATAAAGGTTAGTATGAGCCACAATTGATGGTCAACTTGCGTTAGAGACCACGGTTAGTGAGGCACTATACCCTACAAGTGACACGCCCCCAGTGATGTCCGTTGGTTTATGTTCACCCATTAACTAGTTTCTTGTATCACACATAAACCCAACGGTTTACCAAGTTCTGTGCGTCGACTTAGCTGTCCTAAACGGAAGCAACACCTAACCTCCTTTGTTGGTTTATAAACCCATCAATTTTCAGCTATATCATATCCCATGAAAATTCACGATCCATCTATCAATTCACTGCATGATATTAATCTTGCTCAGTCTTACTTAATCATTAAAATTCACATGTCATTCATAATTTCCATGAAAAAATAGAGTTACATAGAATGACCATATTCCAATCCGGGGCGTACCCCCAAATCATCCACATCATGAATGACCATGACTTCGTATTGAAACAACCATCCTGACGACTGGTTAACCCATGATTACCCCAGTACGATCCCTATTAAACCATACTATGAGTCAAAACCCTGGCACTCTACCATAAAATAGATGGCTAATGGATGGCTATTCAGTTGTTCCCCCATCATGTGGTGCTAATCAATTTTGACCCATCCCCATATAGCATATCAATATGGTGGTTAATGGTTTGTTGCTGATTTATATCATATAAGTTCTATAAGTCATATAAAATCTGGAGGTTTCCTAAAATAGGGGTATCCCCAAATCATACATGTTCATAGGATTTTCCACAAAAAAAACATTTACCCTCTGGTGATTTGTTGCAGTTCGCTATTGAACATGGACCATAGAAATAGTTGATTTACCCATTGATAGCATGGTGATTTTCCATAGTTATGTAAACGTTTACCAGAGGGTAATTCCTATCAACCACCATCAAATCCCATGAACAATCACCATTTTTGTTGCTTAAGTCACCACTTTCCATAGTTTTTTGTATGTTTACCAGAGGGTATACCATCATATATCCCATTAAATCTCATTAAATCCCATTAAATCACCATTAAGTCTGATGAACCATTAAATTACCATCAGTATATAGGGGGATCCCCCGGGACCGCACTCCACTATCCTCTTCACTGTAACACTCCAGTGCTGCCCAGCGAGGTCCACCGCGGTGACCCCAGACCTGGCGTACCGCGGGAAACGAAGGATTTGTTGTTTCGTTGAAGCAAAGATGTGCAGAAAATCATTGGTTTCATGGAATTTGATAGGGATTATTGGTGATTTCATGGGATATTTTATGGAAATGATTGGTGATTTCAGGAGATTTCACCAACAAACAGTTGGATACTGATGGGAAATCCCCTGTAAATAACGGTGTTTCATGGGAAAAACATCTATAAATGATGGTTAAAAAAAAAAACATGGGATATTGATGGGATGTCAGGTGGCATAATGATATACCAACGGAATATGAATGGAACATTGGTGAGTACCCTCCGGTGTCTTCAGACCTGACGTGCTGGAAAATCCACAATTTAGTTCGATGATTTTCCCAGCTGGAAACCTCCATTGACATACGATTTTCAATTGCGATGTTTGGTTACCAAAGGGTGCACCATGAACAACCGTGCAAGGCAAAAACAGGAAAACCTACTGTAACCAAAATTGGAGATGAAGGTGAACATGAAGAGAAATGGACGTTAATGAAGATTTCATCTTTTGGTTTTGATGGATTGGATTTTAACTCGTTTTTCCACATGATGTGCGAAAATGATGGCAAACCATCAAACATGTTCAAACATTGAAACGTGAACAGATGTTCATGGTCTTCCAGCTACTGATAAGTGAGGCTTTCGAGCGGGAGTTGACTTGGAATATCGGCCCGGTTGTCAGTACAGCTGGGGATAGTGTCATGGTCATCGCGGGTGTTTTTTTTGCACTGAACACTAAGATTCGTAGATTGTACAGTGTCAGGCACACCCAATAAATCATATTAAGTTGGTGGTACCTTCTGGTAAACATACAAAAAACTATTGAAAATCGCCATAGAAATAGTTGATTTAACCATCAAAAATGGTGATTTTCCATATGTTTGGTACATCCCATCATGTCTATCCCTGGTAAATACCCATTAAAACCCCATTAAATTAACCATAAACCATCTGGAATCCCATGATATTCCATTAAACCACTAAAATATGTCTCATATCACTATGAATTACCATAAAATCACCTGAAAACTACCATTAAATCCACCCATGAAATCACCAGAAATCCAGCCAGGGTCCAACTACGAGCACCGCGGCACCTGCCCCTTCTTCATCCCTGTGGAGGTCTGAAAACGTCGAAACCAGGCGAAGCTCTTGGCCTGGTTTCGAAACTCCGAGAAGTCAACCAACCACATCAACCAACGTTATCAGTCGCTAGTTATCAAGCGTGGTGTCAGAGAATATCACGATGTTATATCAAATATGAAGATGTATGTATGTATATATCTGTATATGAGTACAAACACCAACTAACAATACGGACTATGATACTATGATAGAACAGGAATGATAATATGCTTAAGAATCAACCGTGATACCCTAGGGCAACTACCATAGATGTGGAACCCCATGGGTTCCTTAGGAAAACAGTCTACAAGGAGTGATTGTTCCACATCTATGTCCGTCTACCTCAGATTGTCAACCATGATGTCAGGTATATAAGTTATATCACAATAAGTTTATGTATGTATGTATGTATGTACGTATGTACGTATGTACGTATGTACGTATGTATGTATGTATGTATGTAAATACGTATGCTTGTTTGTATGTATGTATGTATGTGTATGTGTATGTGTATGTGTGTATGTGTATGTGTATGTGTATGTATATGTGTATGTATATGTGTATGTATATGTGTATGTATATGTGTATGTATATGTGTATGTATATGTGTGTGTATGTATGTATGTATGTATGTATGTATGTATGTATGCACATGCATGCATGCATGCATGCATGCATGCATGCAAATGTATATGTATAAGTATATGTATAACCATCCTCAAATGTAAAGAATATACAGTGTTCAAGGGTAGTCCTATCTTAGTGAGGATTTGTTGACAATTCAACATTCTATCTACTCCAGGATAAATACTTATATACGTATGTGTATACTAAAAATATAACCTCAAAATAATATGTGTTTATATAAATATATAATACATATGCATCGATACACATATTGTGTATATATATATATGGTAATTAAATTGAATATACTCACAGTGAGTAGAAATATCAGATTCACATGCAGAGCTCCCATCTTTGGAGGCCTCTAAACTGCCAAAGCAGATCCACGGTCAACCTAATATTAGGATAATTTTATGGCTAACATGGAGGTATAACGTGGTATAACCAACATGATTTGGAGGATTTATGGTCACTACCCACGGTTCTTCCGAGAGGTCAACAAAGCATCGGTTGTAAACTAGACATAGGAAAGTAGCATCATCATAGATCCCTGGTATTAATGACAAACCATTGATGAACCATTGTACCAGGTTATATCACCATTATCATATATTTCAAATAAGTATATACCAACTCCCAACGAGATAGAACCGTAAATCAACTCAAATAGTGATACATAACTGTTATGAATTGAGGCGTTACTATTAGTTACTATCTTTATATATATAATATATATTACAAACAAAAAACATCAGAGCCAGATAGAATATGACAGTTAACATTTATTCCAAAGTGTGTTTCTCACATATATCCATATTCTATTCTAGCCATATGGCACAAGCTTTTGCTCGCCCTGCTCTTTGCTTGGTTCATGAACCTAGCAAGATTCAGACATATACGGAGCCATGGCCACCTCAGTGAAGACCGTTGATGGATCTCATGAACTACCAGGCTATATTCTGCTTCACCGCTGCCACCTATTCAGGAACTTTCTCCAAATACAGATTTTGGATGGCACGAATTTTGCACTCCTTGGCTTTAACGGACTTTCTCACTGCTCCTCCTGCAGTGCCGGCGAGTTTCCACATCGACATCTTCTCCTTCAAATTTCCGTTTCCGTTCTCTTTGACTCCATGTTCAAGACTATGGTGACTTTGGGGCAGTCATGCTCATACATTTTCTACTTCTCTCTTCAGCTGGTACGACAGACTCTCCTTTCTGCAGAATTGGGGCAGCTGGTTTTCAGCCAATCGACATCATCTCCTTCCATTCTGAGCTGCTAGCAGAGGCCGTCGGTGGCATGCTGAGAGACAAGTGGTCACGAGCCCTGCTGTGCGTCATGGGACTAACTCCTACAGTTTCTCCTTGTTTTGGTGTTTTTGTGGTCCACCTTCCCAATTTCATTGGGTCCCGTGTCGTAGGTGCTCAAATTTCTCCTTTTTTGTCATACATTTGTTGTCTTTCCTCTTTTGTTTCTCCATCTTGCTGTTGGTATGCTGCTGCTGATGTGCAGTTTGCCATGAACTCATATCGCTGCGAAAAAAAAACACAAACATATTCTGTTCTATTCTACTCCACTCCGGGATGTATGTGTGTATATCTGAAATAGCGATTAAGACCCGTGAAATATTGCCATTAAGTATGGTGAACTCACAATTTTCCATAGGTGAAATACCCGTGAAATCCCAATTTGTTGATTCTCCCTATGGAGGTTGGCCACAGAAACACCATCTCCACCTGCGAAACCACACCGTCTTGCAGTCCAGTTGCATCCGCAGACAAGCGACGTACCAGGACAAAACGTCGAGAGCCTCGACCGCGGGAGGTTTAAACAAAGGGGATGGAATGGTGCTGGTGGACGACATATATGTTGTATAGTACTATATAGTACTGCTTTAATCTACTAGATATTCATTCATAAATGTGTAAAATTATGTGTATATATATATTATATGTACAATATTATATGTAGATATATGTAGTAGATATATACCCGGACCTTGCAAGTCCCCATAAAGATTGGTACGGTGAAAATCCCAACAAAATGGGTATATCAAGTATATAGTAAGGCCTAAGATTATACAGTCTATTTTCATAAATCCTGGACATGTAAAACCACACTACCTACAAGAGGAAAGGGCAAAAAAAATGAATTTATGTGTGTTCTAGGCGTTTAAGAAGCCACAGGGTTCCGAACAACCACTTTAAAATGTTTGCTTGTTGTGCGACATGGTCTTGTCCAAATCAGATGAAATCAGAAGGCATTGTCAAACTATGATGAAACGAGATAACCGTTGAAAATCCATAGCAGCAGCAATTCTAAGTACCTTCTGGTAATCAAACAAGGTTTGCTGGAATGTTCCGCATTTAGTAAACTGCAAACCTCCATTTCCGGGGATTTCCCAGGCAGCCATGTTTGACTAGCGGTGGGTATATAACTACAATCAAGGCTTCTGTGCTATATCTCAGACCCTAAATCAGTCCCAGCAAGTGGACTTTCCACTGAAAACAAACACTTGAATACAAAATCGTTGTTTTATTGTTATTTTTATTTTCATAGGCATGAAACCACTACAATATATTCACTTTGTCTGAATTTCTGCGAATTGCGTGTAATTTTAGCTAATATTGCCTCAATTCCACTGGTGAATCACTATTTTGGTGCCCCCCTTAGTTATAAGTTGGTCTATATCCACCATTAGCTATACAACGGTATATATGTATATATATGTATATATGTATATATGTATATATGTATATATGTATATATTCATATATACATATATACAAATATACATGTATACATGTATACATGTATACATGTATATATGTATATTTGTATATATGTATATATGAATATATGTATATATGTATATATGTATATATGTATATATATATATATGTATATATGTATATATGTATATATGTATATATGTATATATGTAAATATGTATATATATATTTGTATATGTATATATGTATATGTATATATGTATATATATATATGTATATATGTATATATGTATATATGTATATATGTATATATATATATACATACATACATGTATATATATATATATATATATATACATATGCAATATGTACCATAGACCCTAGCGTTTGGAGTTATAAGCCAACTTAGCTAACTATGGGGCAGCAGTTTGGGGGTCTCCCAGAAACATGTCAACCGAGGTGCCTCCTTGACCCTCTGGCCGCCGTTCTGCCAGAGAGACACTGCTCTGAAGTGTCTCAGCGTCGGTGCGATTTTCGGATCTACGACTTACCCATTGAAATTCCATACAGGCTGGCCCCCCCCAGTTATGCTTGTTAGTTTATAACCCCATTCATACACGATTGTTAGTAGAGTTATAAACCAGTTTCACTAACGAACTGGGGGCCCATACTGTAGAAACATCGATTGAAAATCCCTTGAACATCTACAATTCATTGAGCATATGTTGAAAATTGTTTGAGCATCCCATTTCTGTGAAAGGACTACTTACATCACATATCGGAATCAATGTGGGTTTGTCTGAAAATAGGCTACCACTAGTTCCTCTGGTTCATCAGAATTTTCTCTTTTCAATGGCCATTTTCTCAATTTTCGGACAAACCCATATATACTGTAAATCCTCAAATGGGATCCAGTTCTACAGCATGATTAGGGGTTCAACCAGGCGTTGGAGTCCCAGAAAAAGATGATTGGAGTCCCAGAAAATGAGCCAATGAATACCCCGGAATACCCCATCTCATCACACTGGTTGGTTAGGACATCTTTCTAGTACGGGGTAATGTAATTGTCCCCAAAAAACTAATTAGTATACCCCCTATATTATAATATATTATATTTACATATATTTACCAATCAAGAGTGGTATTCCTAATGGCTCAAATAGTTTCTAGACATGATTTGAATCATCCATGGTGTTGGCATATCTACCAACTAACATCCTTGAAGACTCCACTGCTTCAAGTAGATGAATAGTCAGCACCAGTACTGGGGTTCCCCCAACCGATTGCAACGAGTGCCCAAAAAACGTGATTACCATCGGGCAATTAGGTGAATCCAGCAAATGAGGTATCGTGGCTTTTCAACCTGGATGATATGAGCGGGGACTAAAACTACAAGTAAGGGTCACAAAGGCGGTCGTGAGCAAAAATTATCGATTTAGATCGTTCGCTATATCGATTTACATGGTTTTGGGGCATATCAAACAATGGCTGTTGAATTGGAGATCCTTTTCCATTCGTCTCCATAGAATCAACAATAGGGGCGCTTCATGGTCAGCAGTCTGCTGTCCACTGTTTGTCTTCAAAGTGCGGAAGGATTTTCCCTCGGAACAGCTTGGTTTTTGCACTCTTGCGCGCCTTCTGCTTCTGCAGATTCGGTTCATTTCATCTTTATAGATCAAAGTTATATTCAATGGTACAGGTCTGGACCACCCCAACTCGAAGTTTCAAGACATTGATGCAAAATTGAAGTGCGATCGATACTCCAGGGATGGATTGATTTGGGTCTCTGGCTGCCCAGCCCGTTATGGCAATTTTGGTTATCGCTTCGTTATCGATTAGGTTATCGAAAAATCTTCTGGTAAAATCAGGAAACGTGTGAAATATTGTTTCTCAAGCGCAGTCTCTGCTTTCAAGAGCTGTGTCGTGACAGGTTTTGGCAGCAAGTTCTGTGGTCAGAAGTGCGTACTCTAGGCCCCTTGGGAGCGCCTCTAGGCCTTTTGAGAGCCCCTGGATTCACATCCGACGAATACTAAACCAATGCATATTAGGATACTATACAATCCCCCAATTGGCTGCGAAAAACAACAGCGCCTTTCAACTTCACCATCAAATCACGTTATAGCTTTAAGTTTTTTACAATATCGCTTTCCACCATATAACCTCTCATGTAAAGGTTTCTGCATGAACCTTTTAGGTCTTTGCTCATATGTTGCAACTATGCAGTATCGTGGGGTAGTGCGGTAGTCCAAACAGCTGCGTATGTGGTACAGAAATTGGGTCTTCCGAACCAGAGACCCTACGCCTAATCATAAACCCTATGTTTACATGTGTGTAAGCCCTGAGCTGGTAAAACGAGGAATGGATCGACATTTGGGTTTTGAATGGTTTGCTTGATTTACCTCCATGTTTCAATTGAAAGCCCTATATATCCGGACATCAACCCACGGACCCACACCCGAAATTAGTGGCCTTGCTTTTCGGCTGCATATGTACTCCGTAGATAAGAGTTCACCATAGTTCACCATCCATATGGGTCTCCCTGCAAATACAAACATCCATAACCATCCTGTGATTTTCCTCCTGAAACATCACGAAAAAAAATCACAATCTTGGACTGTCAATCCATGTCCACCCCGAAACGAAAAACCCGGGGGGTGTTCTTAGCATGATTCTGGTCGCATTTGAGTAAGAAATGAAATAATCACGAAAATGTAGTAAACCCAATCATGATTCATCCCATTCACCAACCATTTGGGGGTCATCTTACATCATCCCAAATAGGGGTACATGTACCATGGTATATACGCAATAAATACCCCTCATGATTTGAGTTTACCACATGAAAAATCCTCATATTTGCTGGCTAAATCCCAGAAATCACCATTGAAACACCAGTAAATCATCATTCAATCATTGGTTAACTCGCTATTTTGGTTCCCATTTTGGTTCCCATTTTGGTTGACTAAATCCTTATATCCCCACCCCCATCTCCAGCTTTCCATGGCCCAGGTACCCTGTGCTGCGCTTGCAAGGCACCAAAGCGGTTTTCACGTTCCGCCTCGAGATTTGGTGGCTTCAGTAGGGAGAAAACATCAAAAGGACCAGCATCAAGAATGGGAATTTGATGGTGTTTAAAGGGTGATATAATTGATAATTGGAATACAATTGGGATAATGAATATTCAAAAAAAAGATATAATTGGGACATATGTAACTGTATACAAAACTAACATTGACAAACTATGACCAACACATATATACATAAAAGATCCCCCTTGCAATTCAGTGTGAAGGTCGCACCCCCTGATTCTGTAAGTACAAAGCTGGGGCCTGACCCTCAGACAGGGATACCCATCATTACAAAATCAAAGGTACCAGACCTTTCCAAGCATGGTTATCATTACAAAATCAAGACTGAACATGTATTTTTACAGAGCAGTTAACCCCCTAATTCAAGGCAAAAAAATTAAAATCATACCAAAATCATAAAATTTGGTACCAAAAACACCCTTTGATTTTGTAATGGGCCTGATTTTATAAGGATTCAGGTCTGGTCCCTTGATTTTGTAACATGATCTTTCCCCCTATACCCCCAGGGCTTGATTTCATAATGTGCCATGATTTTATAAGGTTTTTAGAGTAATTTTGTCAAAACGGCGAGTATCAAAACCCATGTTGTGGATATGGAACATTTATTCAAAATATTTGCAAAATTACTCAAATATAATACAAGATAAAATCACCTTATAAAATCAAACCTTACCATGGAAACAAATTAGAAACATATGGATACTTACAAAATCAACCCCAAAGTTGTGTAAAATTGGCTGAAAAATCTCTCCAAAATTTGTAAAAATGGGACCATTTTGGCACCCCCCCAAGGGGTCTGGTACCCTTACAAAATCAAGACCATCCATCTTGCATTATGTCCACCTATCTTACATAATGATGTTATACCCTTCATCCTTAGGGGCTAGGATATGATTTTGTAAGGTGGGTTCCTTACAAAATCAAAGGTTAAAAACCCTATGTACTGGGGGTCCGACCCCCATGATATTGTAAGGGAAATTGCAATGGGGATCATAAAAGTATGTGAGTCTATCTGAACATGGGGAACCTACCACCAATGAAGGCAATTGCGTTGGGAAGCAGGTTCTAAGCGAAACTTGAGGTACCCTTCCAATGGTGATTCAATGGTGATTCAATGGTGATTTAATGGGATTTAATGGGATATATGATGGTATACACTCAGGTAAACTAACAGTTTGCTATTGAAAATGGCCCAGTCGAAATAGTGGATTTACCCATTAAAAGCATGGTGATTTTCCATAATTAGTTGTTTGTATGTTTACCAGACGGTAATCCATGTGGGGCCCTCCCAAGATAGCTAAGTTAGTTTATTTCACTGGGTGAACTACCGTTTACGGTAAATATATCGAAATACAACTCATCTTGTTTCAACCAACGTAGCTAACAATGTGGCAGCACCTAACATATTGATCGATTGTTTTCTGAGAAGTTCACCAATTCAAGGATGAAAATTCTGTGAGCTTTGACTCAATTTCCATCCAGGTCCAGTGTCAAATCCCAGTGAGATTGGAGTTATCTTTACCGCCAAGGTCAGGACGTCGGAATACATTTCCTCGGTCGATGGGCACTGGAAAAGCATAGCAGTGTGAAAACATCGGATGTTCACCATGAAAAATGGGATTTCACCATCCAGAATCTAGAAATCAAATCCCATGTGACATTTATGTGACTTTTAATGCGAATCTCAAGTGTCAAAAACCATTGGTTTGTTATGGCTTCTTGTTGATATTGGGGTTCTACTAAGCTACAATTCTATTGGAAAAAGGGGATCAGGCAACGATCCACTCTTGACTCCGTTCACTTGGGTAAGTGCATCCCGTTCAGGAAGTCTTTATAACCATATAACCCACATAGATATAAACATACGTACATAAAATCATAAAAAACATACCCAGAATCACTGGGTGCTATTCCATTCATCCACAAAAATCAGGAACATTCATATCCAGTGACTTTTTTGTGGGTATACTGGGTTCATCTACCTGAGCTATTTTCTGGTTCACAAAAAATGCCATCAGGATCACCTCAATGACACCGAACTCATTGCTGATTATGTACAACGGTTGGTGGTATACCTAGTTCGTCACTTGGGATGGTTATTATATGTTTTTCCTAGTATATGGAAAAACATGTTCCAAACCACCAACAAGTTGATTATGTATAATGATTCAACATCTCACAGTTGGCTGGATCCGACTTGTAATATCTTGTAATTGTTGCTGAAAAATTGACATTAGATCTGATTCTCGATTTTTGTCCTGCCTAATTTGTCCACTATTTCTCAGACTCACCATTGCCAGTTTCGCCAAGGTCCTTGTTCTGGTTCCAAATCAGCCACAAATCACACAATGAATGACAAAACACGTTGGGATCTTCCCTTACATAGGCCTCAACAAAGGCCTTATATAAGGTAAGTACCTCCAATAAATCGGTTCCTGAAATGGCCATTGCCGTCGAGATATTTCCTTAACAGTTCATTTACATTGTGTCTATCTACACTGTCGCTGGTGAAAGCGGTGAAGCAGCAGCTTTTGATATCTGGACAACCACCAAAGACTAGAAAACCACAATTGCCTGAATTACATAGTGAATTCATGGGCACAGCCCGGTAGAAACTATAGAATGACAAGATATTATAGAATGAACTGATTAGACACCACTAGATTCACTAGATTAGATGATCTTGACCCCACAATTTCCAGGCTCGCAATCTTCGACCTATATATTTGGGTTTTGCCTCAAAGTTCGCAATTCCTTTTATCTTGCTAACCTATAGTTTATCATCATGTTCCGCACATATTTTAATAGTGATAGAATTGGGTATTCACAGTTTTGAGACAGGCCAAAATTGGAATTTCTTGGATATCTCCCCATAATCGAAACTTGGTTTGACCGTTTGTGAGTTGCTTGTTCCAAAAATTACAGATACACGGAAACTTGTGCCGAACTGTCCCTCAATAGATACATCTATATATATATATGTAGATATCAAAAGGTAGATTAGTTGATAAGTAGATTAGTAGATTGCATAGATATGTGTTCTTCATATATTCTGGTTGATGCAGCGTATTCATGTCTATAAAGTAAAACATATACAATAGGTCGCTGCCATATTTCTACAGAATAAACGCTAAACAATTAAAATTTCTGTTCATAAACTTCACATACCCTTCAGTAATCAACCATGGCAATGGGAAATTCCTCATTGATGATTGTCCCATCAAAGCTGTTTAAAAAAAACAAAAAACTTGGATTTCACATTAAAACCTTCATGTGTACGTTCTATTTATATCATTGTTATCTCATTTACTGGCTGGTGGTTTCAACCCTTCTGATAAATATTAGTCAGTTGGGATGATTATTCCCAATAAGAAATGTTCCAAACCACCAACCAGTATATCATTGATATTTCATTTAAGTGGCCATTCATGATGGATTTCCCAGCTTTCCCAGCTTTCCCAACTTTCCACCAGGCCCAAGTGTCTGCTTCCAACGGAGCAGCCCCGGGCACGGGTTGGTGGCCACGGACCTTACCCAGGAGCCTTAGGTGTTGCTGAATCCGGTATGAACCAGTTAAGCCATCATTAATGATTAGTAACCACTATTTTATTATATACTACTATTATTAGTGTTACTATAGTATATATATATATGTTTTATCAATCTAAATATATACGTATATATATATATATATGTAACTAAATCGTTAATCATATGAAACCACAATATGTATGTGCATTAGTTAAACCCCAATTAGTGGCGCTGTTTTCTGTGATTCCCACAGGGCCAAATGGGCCAAAGGAGCTGGGAACCTAGATACCTGGCAGGTGGAATCATTAGTAACCTGTTTAACAAACACAGATATCACTAACACATATGTAATAGCTATCCGTAAACATGACACCTATGATAGAACAAACTGGGCTTTGATGGACTAATTATGGGTTAACAATTGGTGTTTATTTATATATATTTTTTCTTTAATAAAATATATTTTCTATGTATACATATATATATATATATGCAAGAATGTATATATATAGATATATAGATGGGATAATTCCTCCCAGTGGTAGAACATATTGGGCATTGATGGGTTAACACATGGTTTTATATGGGAAACTTATTCCCAATCATTGTACTTCTTGTGAATTGTGGAAACTTACATGGGTTGATTAGGGTTGGAAATATCTAGGTAATTCATGGTAATTCTAGGTTGTCGCGACTATTTATACAATCAATTATGGGGTTATTTTTCAATAGACATTTTTAGGGATAACTGTTACTTATGTTCTGCTAGCTGCTACTGTTCTTATATATATATATACACATCTAATATGACAAACACATCTATATACGAGGGTTTCCAAAAATAGGGGTACCCATGGTACCCCCAAACCCAAATCATCAATTTATAGATAGATTTTCCATTATAAACCACCCATTTTTGGGTACCATTTATTGAAAAAACGATGTTGGAATAAGCAAATCCAAAATCCACCACCATCACTGGCTTGTGATTGCAACAACACATGATATTCATTGATATTCATGCAAAATACACATTGTGGGTCATTGAACAAATATCACACCTATACCTGCAGATCCGCGCTCCTGGTTGCACTCTGAAATTGATCTGCCATATGAAAATTGAAGCCTGGAAAATACCCGGCCTGGTAAACGTTTACATAAAACTATGGAAAATCACCATGCTATTAATGGGAAAATCCACTATTTCTATGGCCATTTTCCAGTTCGCAAACTGTTAGTTTACCAGAGGGTATATCCATCATATATCCCATTAAATCCCATTAAATCACCATTAAATCACCATTGAATCACCATTTTTAATAGGTAAATCCACTATTTCAAACCTGGGTAATACGCAATTCAAGAAAGCATATCCCTCGATATAAGCGCCTAGATGTGGACGGACGCCATCGATGTATACTAAAACAAATGGGAACGATTTGATTGTCTTAACAACGGCCCAGTATATATATATAGATATATATCTATCTATATCTATCACATGATATCACAATGTGTATATATATATATCACATGACATCACAATATTACATAAGAAGTGTTTATAATGTTTTAACTAGTGCTAAATTATGGTCCTCCTTGGTTTGGAATTTACATACTGGGATACTATCACAACTTTCCTCAACAAAGCAAATAGTATAACAGCATCCAAAAACTATTCAACAACGATTTTGATCGTTGCTTATGTGTATATGAAAGCAATGTAACATGGTGTATATAAGAACAATTTCGCGTGTGCAGTGCATACAGATTTGTGCAGCAAATCTGGTGAGTATAATCGCATATATACATATATACACACACGTAATATACACGTATACACGTATACATGTGTATAATATATATATATATATATATATACATATACACAAATATACATACATACATACATACATACATACATACATACATACATACATACATACTTACATTACATTACATTACATTACATTACATTACATACATACATACATACATACATACATACATACATACATACATACATACATACATACATACATACATACATACATACATACATACATACATACATACATACATACATACATACATTACATACATACATACATACATACATACATACATACATACATACATACATACATACATACATACATACATACATACATACATACATACATACATACATACATACATACATACATTACATTACATACATTACATACATACATACATTACATACATACATACATACATTTACATACATACATTACATACATACATTACATACATACATACATACATACATACATATACATACATACATACATATATACATACATACATACATACATGTATACATATATATATATATGTACATATAAATATATATATATATACATACATATACAATGAATATGTTTTAAACATCCAGCACTGCACATGGGTTCAGGCAAACATGTTGGAGAAAACCAGCAAATAGATGCAGATGATAACTTAAATCATACCTACATCAATAGGAATGAGGGCATGCAACAGGGGAGCCAAAAACACACATGATATTGAAGAGGATACACTCCATTTTTGGACAAACCCAGATAACATACCAAGCTGATGGGACTTTTTTTCAGAACTGGCTGCAGCTACAATCCAGATGCTCTCACTTTGGCAACATATTGTCCCAGTATGCCCCAGTGATCTACCAAACCAGAGATTACCTTCGTGACCCATATGTAAGTGGAATTGTTACAGATTCTCAAGTACTTGGCCCCACTTCACCTAAAAATTACCTTCCCAAACAAAACAAACATTTGCAAGCGACTAGATAAGCCAAGGAGACTTTAGTGGGGATGGTAGCAGGCTTGGCTCACCCAGTTCAATACCATTAAATTGTTGCTGGGAAATGAAGCCTCCCTTTTTGGAAAAAGAAGAAGAAACCAAGCTTATACATTTTAGCCCAGAAATGTCGTGTAAACTATTTGCCAGTCGCTTTTCCGAACCGAAAGTCACCATCCAATCCCATCCAAGAAACGCTTCAGCCACCTCTCTAGAACGCCTTGGAGCACAGGAAAACGTGACTTTGGGGTCCAACCACTAAGAAATTAAGGAAGATGGTTGCATATTTTGGAATTTTGACCAGATCCTGGGCTATTTCATTTGCATATGGGTACAAAATCCTCTGTAATCCCAATGTAATGGGACTCCCTTCATGGGTTATGAGAATTCCCGATCATTATATATATATATATATACACATAGAATATCATAGAATAAATATTGGGTCTGATAATCCCTGAACTAATCAACCCATCATTCATCAGCTATGTATATATATATATATCTATGCAATCCCCATGTGTCCTCCGGTAATCAAACATGGCGATGGAAAATCTCCATCTAAAGATCATGTTTCAAAGCAACCAGTTGTTAGCGTGGATTTTCCAGCTAGCCATGGTTGATGACACCGGAGGGTAGCCCCGTCATGTCCAAATTCATCATTAACCAACCATCATTCACCAGTCATCTCAATATATTTCTGGTGATTCAAAACCTCTATAGATGATGGTGATCAACAAGGCCGTTTTTCACCAAGCTGTCAGCGGCCTCATCTTTCACCTGTCTCAGCTTCCCCACAAAAATTGAACGACTATTGATCCCCAAATGTTTGGGTACACAGACACTTCTGGGCAAAGCCAAAAATCAATATTGCTGGCTATAAATACATATATATATATATAAACATTGATACATATATATATATACACACATATATATATATATACTATAGATTCCTAGAAGATATCCCCATTGATTCGTTCTTACATAGCCAGTGGAACTCAAAAAAATGTGTTGGTTCCCAATTCTCGGCCGGTGATTCATCCATTTTTTGAGTCCCACCACTCTTTCCGAAGAAAACATAGCCCCATATCCCACAAGAAATCTACCATCTGGTTATTTAACATAGCCATGGAAAATCACCATTGTCAATAGGTAAACCATCTATAAATGGGCCATTTTCCATGGCTATGTTAAATAACCATAGGGTACGTAATTTACAACACATCCTCCTCCCCCCCAAAAAAGCAATGTTTCCTTTTGAAAACAAAACACTTACCATAAAACTTAATCCCTATCTTGTAGGTCATCAACTGCCGAAGAGCGGCATGCAAATCAAGGCATAGCGCTTGTCCTGGCCACCCAGGAGGGGTACCCGATGGCAATACTGTGGAAAATCTCATGGACTTCCCCCAGGATGACCTACGTTCATGGTGGCTTTTCAACATCCACGTTAGGTTACAGGGTACTTACCCTCTGGTAATTTAACATAGCCATGGAAAATGGCCCATTTATAGATGGTTTACCTATGAAAAATGGTGATTTTCCATAGCTTTTTGTATGATTACCAGAGGGTATGTATAGCTTGGATTGATGGTGATGATGAGCATCAGATATGCCTATCCCATCACATACGAACATAGCCATTGGTAGAAATCACCAAAACTATCCCATGACAAATTCCGTTCATAGCTATTTTCGAGAGATACCAACCATAAATTCCCCATCAAAATGGAATTGGAGGTTTCCTAAAAAAAAATGGGCACCACTAAATCATCCATTTTAATAGGATTGTCCATTATAAACCATCCATTTTGGGGACCTCCATTTTAGGAAACCTCCAATTGTAAGAAGATACATTGCCCATGTTCTTATCCTGTTGCATTTGCCCAGCTTTCGTTGTGATATCACTCGTGATCCACCATGAAATCCCATCAGCAATGAATTTGTGAGTGTCTGATTGATTTATAAATATATAGCTTGGACATGTTTGGAACTGGCTGATTTCTTTAGTCCGATTATCATTGTTATCATCTTTTTTTTTCATAGTCATCAACCCTACAGTTTATCTGGCTGGTGGTATACCTACCCATCTGAAAAATATGAAAGTCAATGGGAAGGATGACATCCCATATATTATGGACAATAAAATTCATGTTTGAAACCACACAACCAGTATATGATTGTCCCGTACTATGAATTTCTTAATCCCCATCTAACTGATATAATATGATATATTCCATACTGATATAATCCCCATCAGTATATTATCCCGTACTATAATATGATTCCAAACCACCAACCAGTTCCTTAACGGAAAAAAAAAAAAACATGGATATCATCATCCCAACTGACGAAGTCCATCATTTTTCAGAGGGGTAGCTTGAAACCACCAACCAGTATATATCCATAGATTATCCATAGATATACATAGGACTTATTATGGATAATCTATGGATAATCCATGGATAATCTATGGAATCTATGGTCCATTTATCGATGGTTTACCGTTCTTAAACATGGTGATTTTCCATAGATTATGGGACTTATTATGGAAAATCTATGGAAAATGCCTTCCCAACTCCGCCGCCGAAAAAAAAATCGGTCATTGTTGGACTCGCCCGTCACCAGGTCGCGATCAGTTCCCAGGAGATCGCGGGTGAGCTGAGCGCCAGCGAGGCAGGCAAGCCATGCCGTGGATCGATGCGAACAGCGGGAGAAAATCCTTGGGAAAATGGGAAAATCCATGGGACAATCCATGAAAAATCCTAGGAACATGTTGGGTTTTCGACATTTAGAGTATCATTTATGAGAGTTGTAGCTTTTTTGCTGAAGCATTTGCCTCATCTTTTTACGTCATGGATGTCACGGATTGTATCAATGCTTCAGGGTCGAACATCAAAGCCAGGAAAATGTTTGGTCAGGGCAGGAACCGGAAGATCAATCAGAAAAGATTATGACCAATATAGAATAAATGATATGATATAAATGACAAAAAACATGTTGATGAATATAGTTATTTCTATATGCTACAAAATGCTACAAATACTGAATCCCAGTAGAATTTTGATGTTCAGAACTTGTGGAAGTGCCTTTTGCACAGGGAAAAAAAGGTGAAACCTTGACACCCCCAGGGTCACCACCGAACTGGTATGCTTAGTAGTGCAACATCTCAAACATTGCAAAAATCTATGTTTTGTTTGACTTGTTCTGTGACAATTGACACGTCCATACTACAAAAGGGTCTGTGTTTTACATCATTTTATGGTATAAACATGTAGTAAACATGCCAAATCAGGTTAGATCTGTAGCATGGTAACAACTAGCCCCCGTCTTCTCCGGCCCGGCCTTTTTGATTTGGATGTACCCAAAACGTGGGGGTAAAGGCCTCGGAAGCCGCCAGCGATGAAGCGTTGCGTGAACGGGTTTTAATTAATCCCATGTGCTCCATGTATGGTACATTTACCTACATTTCTGTGATTTTTAGGGCACATGTTGGTACATATTCCATACGTGGAGCATATGGGAATGCAAGTTGGCCCTGTCTGTAGGAACAACGATTCGACTACACGATGACATGAATTCGTCATTTGTTACAACTGTTACAACATGTTACAACGATGTCTTGCCAGCTCGAATCGGATCCGGTTGTAATTAATTGTTGGCAAGGACAACACGGAACTGGATTCCAAGCTCACGAAGTTCCAATGGTGTCAACACTGTTTATGGGATAAGACACGGGAATCACCAAACATGCATTACAATCTTGGAAATGACACGGCAGCACATGGTGATCCACCTAAGTGTATGTCATATTCAAATCTGGGAGAAAATCCAATCCTTAAACAATTTTGAAGTAATAAATCAATGGTTATTTCAGGAACCTAAAATGGAGGTACTGTACCATATAAGGCCATATTTTGGGATATTTTGGGAGTATATTTCCTTAGCCTCAAACATAGGTCCTTTTTTTGGTAAGTACCTCCAATTTAGGATCCTGAAATTCCCATTGAATAAATGGGATTATAAAAGACGATCCGTTTATCCAATCCAAACAGTATCCATGTGTCGGATATGGAGGTTTCCTAAGTCATAGGGTTACCCCCAAATCATCCATCTGAATAGGATTTTCCCTTAGCAACCATCCATTGTGGGGTACCATTTGTGGAACCCCCCATATGTTCAAAGGATTTTCCATTCTACCCTCTGGTAAACTCACATTACTAAGGAAAAACAACATTTTTTTATAGGTAGATCATCTATAAATTACCATTTTCAGTATGTAACATCTATAAATTACAGGTAGATCATTAGATCATCTATAAATTACCATTTTCAGTAGCCTATGTAACAAATTACCAGAGGGTAAACCATCCAGCGCTATGGGGGGTACCCCCAACTCCATCCCCTGAGCGCAAACTCGATCCGAAGCCAAAACTTCTCGGCCTCTGCCTGCGGACAGAACATTGGTGTGCCTTGGAGCAGATGTTTGATTACCCAAGGGTACAGACAAATCCATGACTAATTATATAGTCCTCTATTGTCTTGACACAAAGCCACCAAGCCACAAGAGTCTTCGAAAACCATGTCATTCCCTTGAATCCTGGCTGGTGAATGGGAATTTTATAGTTCATGGATGATCTGGTTGGTGGTATACCTACCCATCTTGAAAAATGATGGACTTCGTCAATGGGAAGGATGACATCCCATATATGAAACGGAAAATAAAAAAAATGCTTGAAACCACCAGATGAGAATTCTAATGACAATCCATTAAAATCCATAGAAAATCCTGTCAAACCACCAAACAAATCCTGTCAAACCACCACAACAATGCCATTAAATCCCATGGAAAAACCCTATGAAACCATCAAACTCCGCTCGCATACGGAACTCGCACCTCGGGGTCCTCCTGACATCCAGCATAAGGTGGGCAATTAGAAGTACCCTCTGGCAAACATACAAAAAACTATTGAAAATGGTCATTTATAGTTGATTTACCCATCAATAGCATGGTGATTTTCCATAGTTTTTTGTATGTTTACCAGAGGGTATAGTTAATGGTGAAATAACTGTGGTCAGTAGGGTGTTTTTCTAACTCTGGTCATGAAAAAACTGAACTGTTGTTAATATTAATGTCAATATAACTAGGATGTATGGCAATTATGACTATAGTAAAATAATGGAATTTATAGTTCATGGGATTTCACTATAGTTAATATAGCTAATATGACACTATAGTTAATGGGGTCTATAGAGGATGGAATTCACGGTAGGATTGATTTGCAATTTATGGGAACTATACTGGAGTTGTGATAGCCAAGCTAGTAATCTTACTAGGAGTTATGGCAATGAAATAACTATAGTTGATGGGGGTGTACAGTTAATGGGATCTCACTAGGATTTGTGGCAAATTATGGCAACTATACTTGGGGTTATGATAGCTAAGGTAGGAATCACTCATGTTTCAATGGGCTTAATGCTGTGATTCACTATAGTTAAATTCTTAATGGTGAAATAACTATGGTCAATAGGCTCTTTCAACCAACGTAACTTATCTACTATTTCACTAGGAGTCAGGGGCCATGGCAATTCCAAGTATAATTCATAGGTTTATTTGATTATCATTACTCATTACCCTCTGGTAAACATTAAAAAAATATGGAAAATCATCATTTTTAATGGGAAAACTCACTATAAATGGCCATTTTCAATAGCTATGTTTGTTTACCAGAGGGTACCTGATTGTTAAAAATACTGGCAAAAGCCTCAAAATGGTCTAGTATCTGGACTACAACTACATGCCCACCTTGCACGTGTACCAGTTTACCATCTCAAACTCTCTCGGTTTACTCTTCATAACCATCTCTTGAACAAAAAACATTCACACGTGTCAAAAAATCAGCCCCTCCCCCAAAAAAACGCAAGAAGAATGAATCGGAATTGACGATAAATTGAGTTTAGAACTACTTAAATCTAGAACTACAATATTGAAAGAAATAACTGACCAATATAATCTGGTTGGCGCTTTCAAGCAAGCGTGAAAGCCTATGCCAATGAGGAGCAACATCCCGTGATGCATGTGGGGTGACTCACGGAAAAACTCTCACTGCTGACCACCAAAAAAAAACAAGAAGCTCCCGGCCATATTTTCAATGCAACACCAATGTAACTGAGCAACATTAACTGAAATATTGATGGTTATTCACTATAATTATTTATCATAATTATACAATATTATATAATGTTTATGCACAGAATCCTTGCTACACCTTGCTGCAACTGAGTATCCAGATCCAATGTACTGACTGTACTGAGTGACTGAGTGTACTGTACCCAAATCCAGAAAAATCATCAGCTGAAAGTGGAAGCTGCCTGGCTATGACGGTGCCCCGACAACCACCCACACTCCTCCTGCGCATTCTGATCGTCTTCGCCTCTGGTGGGGGCATGGGGAGGCAGTCTGAAACCCCTTTGATATGTCCAAACACCGAGTTCTGAATGTGTTTAGTGGTCATGTTGAATGACGTCCCACAAATTTTCGCTTGTCATGGCCAAGACCTTTGAAATTGCTGGATTGATACACCCAGTCGAGGAATCAAGGCCCAGCTCACGCAATCCCAGCAAATCATATTATCCCAATCACTCACACTTTCGCCGATGTCCGAATGAAAGTCTCTGACATGGCACATTGACCAACTTTGAAGATGTTAGCCTTATCGTTTTAGATGTTGAGGGAACCATGTTGTTTTTGATTATACTGGAATATGCTGAAAAATCGCCAGTGTTGCAGGACAACAAACAAATCGTATACTGTTTGCTTCATAGCGACATCTGTAGTGAAAAAAAATGTTAGTGGTAGCCACACAACAATCATCGCCAAACATGAAGTTGGATGTATCCGGTATCCACATGTTGTTTGTTAAATACTCACATTTTGGTCAAATTTCCCCAAAAACAATCATCACATAGCTGACCCTAGATCATTTTGAGAAAATATTTGATCGAAACGATTTTTTCAAACAACGCAAACATTTGCACCTACCACCAGATACATATTCACACCATTCTGCCGTGGTTGAGTCACATGTTTACTGATGAATTCACACACAATTCCTACAAATTGGCCCCCCAGAGTTATAATATGTTATAAGTTGGTGTATGTTCACTCACCCAAGCAGCAGCAAAAACTTGGAATTGCCATAATTAAACCTAGTGAAACATATATCTCGGGAAATGAAAATATTTCACTAACCTGACAGTTGCAGCCATTTGGGGATGATTCCCCATACATAAACCATGGTTCGAGGAAGGGAAAACAGTGAGGTCGTTATGATTTACTCAGATAATTGAATCATGTAACTAGGATCTATGGCAATGAAATAACAATAGTTTCATAAGTTTAATGGGGCCCCTCCTTGCAAGTGTAGCAGCAATTGCACAGCCCATCTCAAACCATTTGGTTTACTATTTTGGCTGATGGTTTTTTAAAAATATTAGTCAATGGGAAGGATTACACCATATATTATGGAAAATAAAACATGATTGAATTGAAACCACCAACCAGTATTGATAACCGTCATTAACCATCATTAACCATTTGGTTTACTATTCATAAACATCCCTAATTTGAAACACGGAATCCTTGAGTGCCAGGCCTTCCGGAAAACCCTCTTCGGACCTCGAAGGGACGAGAAGTTTCGACGGTCGAGAAAGTGGGGCCCGGGGATGAAGGGTTTAAACCCATAGGGAGAATGAACATATATCATGGAATTTAGATGATTGTAGAATGTTTTTAAGATCCACATGGATCCACTAGATATAGATTGTAAAATATTTTCAGATCCACCTGGATCCACGATTTTTGTTGTACAAATGACTAGTTTTTGTTGGTATAATGAACATGATGCCTGGATTTCAGATGATTCTAGGGGTATCAATGCTTGGTAGTCCACCCCGAGAACCGTAAATGGTTTGAATTTTTAGTTTACGCAGATCCGCAAAGGTTAACCCACGAATTGGGGATCTTACGATCACCAGAGTTACTAACCAGGTACTACTTGGATGTTCATTGTGGCTGGTAATTTGTTATTGAAGTTAGTAAATATATAGGAAACTTAGTATGTGAATTAGCACTGTAATGTAAGATAGCTAAGTCGGATTTACGCAGGTTAGTAGCTACGATAAGTCAAAATTAGTATTTCTGCTAAGTCACACTTACGTAACCCGTAAGTTTGACTTAGCGGGGATGAATTTGTGGATGTAGGGGAATTAAATTTAAGACTTATCAATGCACAAATATGTTTTTTACGGACGGGGAAACTGATATAGTATTTTCACGCGAGGAAAGAACAAAAAATGTTGTAACGTGTGAAACTAAAAAATAAAAGGCAAAACCGTGGTTAACATAGAACAACTGTTGAAATGTCTTTTTCCAATGCACCCGGGTAAAAAGAAATGCAGCCTGGGGCACTTGGAAGTGAACAAATGGCACCTGCAAAAAAAAAACACATATCATCATTCACGCACGAAAATCTCGCATGTGTTCTTTGATGTGCTATATGAGTTCCATGTCTGAAGTTGTCCAAACTTTTTCCGTGAGCGTAATCATTTTTCACCACGCACTCTTTGATCATCGCCCCATGCCTCTTTTCAATCTTATTTATCTTATATTGAATTGGGAATATATATCAAGTCGCGGCTCCGCTTCCAAAAAGCCAGTTTGTCTACCAGGGCGGTGTTTCGCGATCAGCTCTGTAAATTCATTCCTCAAGTGGCTGCATGAGATCATGTCGATTCCTTTTGGGCTCCGGCTCCAGAGCCGTTTTCTGATGTTGAATTTCGTCAAGCTTGTCCAAACGTTGTTTTTTGTATGTGTGCAGGGGGATGTATATGCATCGTGCACATGGGTGATGTACTGATGTATTGATGTATTGATGTATTGGTGTATTGGTGTATGTATGTATGCATGCTTGCATGTTTGTATGTTTGCATGTATGTATTTATGTATGTATGTATGCATGCATGCAAATGCCATGAGTGTATAAATATATATATATATATATAAAGATCTGTATATAATCGAATCTGTATGTATAAACGATGCATTCAAGCTGCGCCAGCTATTCTCCGAATCTTTTGCGCACATGCTTTCCCAGTAGCAGCGCTTGATATAGTGCCAGCGGTTCTTCTCTGCGCGACTTGGTTTCCGCAGGATCTGATTCAAGAAAGCCATTGCGCGATGGAGCAACTTTCCTTTCACCATGTCGGATGGTCTTTTCACCAGATTAAAACAACTCAAATCAAATTGGGCCTAAAATGCCGAAGTCATTGTGCAATAATTACCCATGTCTTCTTGCAGCCTGCTGATGAATATCCAGCACTGCATCTCGGCTCAACCCATACAGTGGCCTTGCATTCCGAAGCCAACCACACCTGGCAGGGCTCATGATTGCAGAGCAAAGTTGCTCGCGGTCAACTCTTGCAGAGAGGCCGGCAGATTGCGAGTTCGTTGAGCTCTGCAGAGGTCATACATATATTATAACATCAAAAATGTCGACTGAAACGTATTATAACTGTACATCTCTCTTGATCTGTATAAACTTTTCACATGGCTGACATGCAGGGAAGCACCTTTGAGATGCCACATTATTGTTCCCAGCAACCTGGCGGATGGCGTAGCAGCCATGGATTGTGCTTGCAACCAAAAACAGGTTCTAAACTTGCAATCGTCAGGTCAAGTCTTTTTGACTGAAGTCAAATGGTTTGGTCATGTTTGGTCCCTTTCCGAAGGAACAAAGCAATGGTGTGACGATCAATGGTGTGATGATCATCTCTCCACTGCGAGCTTATGAGAGCTTATAAGGATACAAAAGTTGCACCGGACCTTAATGCCATATTTACAACTATGGCTCACTTCTTGTTCTTGTCTGGCGCTTTTTGTTCGGATGCGGCTCGAAGCCCGAAGCCATGCTCAGCTCATCTGCCACGACTTTGTAGGCTTTCTCGCAGGCAATTTCCAGCTTGTGGCCCTCTTGGATGAAACACAATTTGGCAGCCGTGTATAGGTTCGGCTATGCAAATTCTTCCGATCCATCTTGAGTTCGGTGTCTTTCTTCACCGGCTTTGTCTTGCTATCTTTGTTCAGCTTGGATTCTGGTGCGACTTTGGACGATGCCGCTATTTGGGCTGTGGCTCCTTAGCGGCTGGTTTCTTCATTGCCCTTGCTTCAAATGCTTCCTCCATCAGCTCGGCCTGGTTGGCGACCTGAGATGCAGCCGCCTTCTCGGACTTCAAATCTGCGAGTCATTCTTGGGACCACCCACCATCATGTGATGTTGGCCGTCCGACATCACACGCACTGACACCATCGTACGGACCTGCGCAAGGTGGCGCATAAGCCATGCCACTCCAACATCCAGGCTCTCCTCCACAAACTTGACCAGGTTGGGCATGGCTCCAGGTCGAAAATGATCGAGACTGCTTGAAATGCTTGAACGCCACCAGAATTGATAGGTGACGCTGCAGAAGGGCAGCGATGCGATCGAAACTGTCTTCAAGGCAAAGAGATACCACCCCACCGGAAGATGCTAAGGTGAATGGAGACGAACCATATGCATTGCGCGACAGCGGATCTGCACCATGAGCAAGCAACAGAGAAGCAAAAACCTCATCTCCATGAACAGCTGCCAAATGCAGAGGAGTGTTGCGTGCATGATCCTTGCTTTGCAAGCTTGGATCTGCTTGTTGGCGAAGCAATAGGGCCTCGCAGGACTCAGCATCATGAATCACGGCGTTGTGCAAAGGCCCTCCGCAGCAACTTGAAACCTTGAAATGGCTACGGATTTTGGTATGTTTCTCAAATACCGACAATGACCGTTACCACTTTTTTCATCTTTTTTTTGGGGAGATACGCACTTTTTGACTAATTGATGATCTGTAGCACACTTGATCACTTGACTACTTTTTGACTTAATTTGTCATCATCTATATCCATAGTCCTAATTCATATAATAGCTGATGGGTATGCAACTTGCCAAAAAATGCCAGTGACCCCATGGTTTTCTAGATGATTACAGCCTGATCCAAAGGTGGCCACGTCCACAAGCTGCCAAAAAAATCCTCAATTGCTAGTAACAAGTGTTGCTGCTTGAAATCCACATTGGTTGTTGGCGAAATCAGATTTGTGTGTTGCATAAGTCATGATTTGTTATATAAATCCCATTAAACAAGGAAAACAAATACATTTTTGGTCATCAAATTCCCATGACATCATCCTGTTTCTTGGTTCCCATGAAAATCCTCCGCTTCCGAAAAAAACACATGAAATCATGATAAATCATCATGTAGATCATGTCCGTTTGTTAAGCTCCATGAAATCACCATGTTTGCTGCTAAAACTCCATGAACATCACCATGTTTCTTGGTTAAATCATCCTTCCATCCCATCAAATCCCGATTTTTCAAACCGTGAAATCACCCTTTTCATCACCATCAACTCCCATCAAATCCCATGGAAAATCATGAACTCACCACGTTTCAAACAGGTGAACCCCCCATCTACCCCATCTACGCGCCACTGCAGGGCCCCCACGGAGAGTCCAACCCAAGGCCTGGCGGGAGTCGATCCTCGAGAAGAAATAGTGGATTTTTCGTAGTAACATGTTAGTTTACCAGAGGGTATATAGTTATATACATTGCCAATCTTAGAATATGAGTGATATAATGGTGATTTTCCATAGTAAAATGGTGGTGATTTTCCACAGTAAAATTGTGATTTTACTTGGAAATAACGGTGAATTTACTTGGAAAGAATGGTGACTTTACTTGGAAACAATGGTGACTTTACTTGGAAATAATGGTGATTTTCCATAGAAAAATTGTGGTGATTTTCCACAGTAAAATGGTGATTTTACTTGGAAATAACGGTGATTTTACTTGGAAATAATGGTGATTTTCCATAGTATAATGATCCTCAACGATACATTGCCAATCTTAGATAGCATGGTGATTGTTCATAGAAACATGTTAGTTTACCAGAGGGTATGTAGTTATATACATTGCCAATCTTAGATAGCATGGTGATTTTTTCATAGTAAAATGTTAGTTTACCAGAGGGTATATAGTTATATACATTGCCAATCTTAGAATATGAGTGGTATAATGGTGATTTTCCATAGTAAAATGGTGGTGATTTTCCATGGTTATTTTACTTGGAAATAATTGTGTTTTTACTTGGAAATAATGGTGATTTGCCATAGTGAAATTGTGGTGATTTTCCATAGTACATGGTGATTTTACTTGGAAATAATGGTGATTTTACTTGGAAATAATGGTGACTTTACTTGGAAGTTGGTTTATAAGTGGCTTAAAAATGGTTTAACATTGATAGCATGGTGATTTTTCATAGTAAAATATTAGTTTACCAGATGGTATATAGTTATATACATTGCCAATCTTAGAATATGAGTGATATAATGCTATGTTAATGGAATATTCATTGAATATGAGTTGGAATAATATGAGGACATAACATGATCAGTGCCAATCTGCCAGAGACCCTGGCAAAAAAATGGCAAAATCTTTGCTGGGGAACGGTTCGATATTCCCATGCCAAAAGACTAGGATTCGGATTAGTTTCTACCCATCCAGTCCATTGACCTAGTAGATAATCTGTTGGACATATCCCCAGTAGCAGTTATCACAATCCCCTTTTTTAACCAGGTAATATAATCCCTAATAATACCCCATCAACGATCATTGACCTAGTTTTTTATACCAATTCATCCCATCATAATTCTGATGTCCATAAGTTGGTTAGTTAGTTCCAATAAGGTGGTTTCCGTTAGTGCTAATCATGGTTACATAGATCTCATAATGAAACAGTAATGTTAATCAATAATGGACAAACATAATGATTAATGAACATAATTCCTCCATAATTATAATGATGAATGTCACCATAATTAATTCATGGTTGGTTTGTTGGTGCAAAGTCCAGTCCGTCCTTCAACATCCAATGATTGTTCCCAACTGTTGGATTATTTTGTGATATCTATTTCATGCCATTATTTCTTAATGTTTCATGACCCGGCAAAGCTCCATGAATGATTCTACCCATTTTATTTTTGCCCCACTTAACTTATAATATATTATTATGGTTCCACTGCACCGCAAGTATGTCAAGAAAACAACACTTAAAAACGAAGCAACAAAGCACAGCGCAGTGGCTGCTCCCTCAACTCCGCCGGTGGCACCGTCATTCATCGACCTGGCACCATGCGTGAGAGCAGATGGCACTGAAGCTGAGAAGTGGGATGGCAGCATTGAACTAAACAGGAACATGTCATTACAGAATAGTTCAGCAGCTGTCATATCAAGTTCATGCCATTATTGTTACACGCTGATTCAACAATTTTCGTCACTATCCTTGATGAATTGGCCGGGCGGCATAGGATGTGACTATACATTCATCTTTATTGCATACTTCAACACCCGCTGGAACAAGAGAGATCAGTTCATCAACGCTGAATGTGATGGATCAAAGATGAAACTCAATCATGTCTTCTGCAAAAAGGGATCACAAAAGAGACCTTGAAAGGGACCATGTCCATCCTTATTGATCCATTTCCGTTGTGACAGCAGTGGCTCGTTTTTTGCAAGGCTTGGAACCCTGGAACTATGGGGTTGGTTCTATGGTGTCCGCTAAGGCTGAAATAATGTTCAAACGAACAAGAGCATGTGGGAAGAATAGTAAACTGTTTCCATGGCCAATCTTTCATACCAAAAATTGTATGTGCCTTTTTAGCTAGTACATATTACATGTATACATGTATGTGTGTATGTATATATATATATATATGTAAATCCGCGTTGATAGCAAGGATGGCAAAATATAAGAGAAATCCACAACCTAACTACACAGGGGTGTTTAATATGAATGGTGGTTGGAATTATATAGGACACATATCATATCCATATATACACATATAATTATATATATATATATGTCTGGGTACATCAGAACATATTAGAACAATTCATCAACCTGGATGATTCCCAGAATCCTAACCATCATTCCAGTGACGTTGAAGTGAGGTCGTTCTGATTCATTCCAGATCTATCCAATTGGACATTCTACACCTTGGTCAATGCGTTGATTCTGTGGATGAATCAAACAATGACCATAAGGTGTTTGGTCAGAAGGTCACATACCTTTTATTATCTTATAAGGCTAGTTGGTGGTTTCAATCCCTCTGAAAAATATGAGTTCGTCAGATTGGATCATCATCCCAGCTATTGGGGAAATCAATAAAAATCATGTTCCAAACCACGAGTTTCAGTGTTTAAGTTGGTTTATAAACCATGAAATAATCCCCACTAACTAGTTCGTTATACCTACCATAAACCATAGCTAATGTTCCATACCACCAACCACATTAATCATCATTATTAACCATATATATATAACTATAGATTATTACTATTGATCATTATTAATTAACCATGTTCCAAACCACCAACCAGGTCATAATGACCATGTTGAGGTAATGTTTGATTCGCTGCAAAATCCCCATGGTTCCACCCCAACCCCAACCGGTGACCCGAACCGACCATAGCTATGGCAATTACTTGGCGAACTGCGAAATGATACCCTCTGGTAATTTGTTACATAACTATAGGAAATCACATGAAAATCACCATTGTTAATAGGGAAACCATGGTAAACCATCTATTTCTATGGGCCATAATCCATGGCTATGTTAGTTTACCAGAGACCAGAGGGTAGTTGATCTACACATGGCTCGGATTGTCCGTATCTATTCATTCGATGTCTTCATTGGAAGCACACCCACATAGAATTATTCAAACTGGGCCTCTCTAGATAGCCAAGCTGGTTTAGAACTCTGATACCAACCATTATAACTATAACATACTATCACACTTATACCCTATCTTTAACAATAGTGTGAATGGCCATGAAATAACTATAATATTCCTGGCTATATAAACCAACCTTCACATCATTGCGGGGTCTGCGATGGCCCACCTTGTTGGTTTAGAAAATAGGGCCTAGCAGAGGATAGCTAAGTTGGTGCAAATACCTCCAAGAACTATGGTTTATGAATGTTATGATACTTATCACACCATAATATACCATATAAATCTTACTATGGTTTTACGACCCTTACAACATACTTAAACACATCGTAAATAACTCTAGTATTCATGGCTTTCAAAACCGACACAGTAACAGTAACGAACTTGGGTCACCCAACATGGCACCCTTCCTGCCCCGGAAACTCGATCGCCGCCTGCTGGTGTCAGGTTGAAGCCTGAATAAAGGGCCAGGCAAAAAAGGCCCTCAAATGGAGGCTACTGTACCATATCAGGCCATAGGTTGTGGGAATATTCACTTCTGCCCGAAGAGAAAGGCCTTAGATAATCTCCTATATGGTACCTCCAATTTAGATTCCTGTTGCATGGCCATTGAAGTAACATGGCCAGGGAAAACCACCGCTTGCAATGGCGAAATCATCGAACGAAATGGGACATCTATACCAGAGTTATGACATTACTGCCAGATGGTAAAATCCCATTTTGGTGAAATCCACATTAATCACCAAACAAAAACAATAGAATCCTATCAAAATCTCCATCAAGTCCTATAAAATCCCACAACATCCCCATAAATTCCAGCAAAGTCCCCATCAGATCCCTAAAAAACTCACCATAAAATCCCACAAAGTCCCCATAAGATTC